CGAAGGCCTACCTGAACAATCCCTCTGTCGTTCCAACTCAAGTACCACACGGACGACGAGTCACTACGCGTCGTTGGAGTTTTGAAGTCATTCCGACGAGCAATCGCTTTCGGCGGAGCTGAAAGGTCGACGTGCGACCGTCGGCAGTGCACATCGACCCCTGCCAACCGGAAGTACCGTCTGCCAGGAGGTGATACGCGGGGGGAGACGCACGTGCTGTTCACGTACGATCGTGAAGTTGGGTCGCGTCTGCAGCTGCGCTGTGGCGTCGCGTTGGGACAGATTCTCGCAATGTCAGACCGTACAGATCCACTGTTCAGCTATCGTCAACGTCTCTCTGTCGTCGTCTCCTTCGCTTCGGGATCCTGACGGTGATCATCGTCCGCAACGAGCGCTGCGCCGCGACATTCGCCAAAGTAACAACGCGCGACGACGACATCGTGACGACACGCTCGAGGAGACCGGATGGAAGCTCCCGTCCACGGCGAGCGTCGTTCCGTCCGCCTCCTCATGTCCGACTGTTTCTGCCCTCGTCGGATCTGGGATCCAGATCTTCTGATGGTCGTTGATCACGATCATGTTGCGCCGATGCTCGGGACCTGTCTGCCGTCTGCGGCGCGTTGCGTGCGGCCTTGATGACCGGCCGCGCATCTTCCTTTAGAACGTCTTCATGGGCGTCGTCGCCGGATACTTCTCCGCGCGGTTCTTCTACAAGACGCTGCGGTGACCACTCGTGCGACGCGCGTCCGCTCTCTCAGACGGCGCTCCTCTACCCGCCGTGTCCTCGGGACGGGATTCTTCCTGATTTCTTCTATCTGGGGGAAGCGGTCCCGTCGAGCGGTGCGCGTTCACAACGGATGATTGGCGCTCGTCTGCCTCCTGTTGTCGTCGGTTCTCCCAGCTGACCTTTGTCGATACTTCTTCGGGTTCCGGGAAGACCCCATATGAAACACCGTGAGCACGAATCCAGATCTCCGCGGCAGTTCGCGGAAGGGTCGTGGTACATGAAACCCATTCTGAGCAACGCTCATGGCCGGGGTTCTGAGGCCGTTCGGAGCGATGTCATCGAATCTTTCTTCGTGCTTCAGCGCCATCTGGATGAACGCAGTTCTACTACCTGTTTGATTCCTCTTCCTGTCCTTTCGTCATCCTCGATCGTCTCCTGCTCTCAGATCTCATCGTCATGTCTACTTCCAGCTTGCGCGTGAGGACTACCTCTGGTGGTGGCGTTCGTTTCGTCGTCAGCGCGGTAGCGCCCTCTACTGTTCGCCTACTCGCTGGTTCTAACTTTGCGAACAAGCTGGTCAGACAGCGAGTTTTGTTCCGACGCTGCTCTACTTCGCTACATCGTTCCTTATGGGTCTCCGTTCTAATCTTGCTGACGGGAACGTGGGGTTTCTACGCGCCTCTTCTTCATACGGACGCATCTATGCAGCCGTCAAGATCGATCTAATCCGCATCGCGGTGTACTCGCAGGCGCCGAGGCGAGACAAGTGGAGAAGGCAGTGAGGCGAGTTGAGACATGCGAGACAGACTGGTTAGTTGAGGCGAGGCAGCGAGGTCTGGTGAGTACAGTGAGAGACAATGGTGGAGATGAGACACTATGGGGGCAATGGTGAGACGGTGCGGCAAAGTCAATGGTGAGGTGAGCGAAAGTAAGGCCGTGTTAAGGCCAGTGAGGCGAGTTGAGACAGTTGCAAGACAGATGGCGAGGCAGGCGAGGTGAGTGCGCGAGACATTGAAGCGCGAGGCAAGCGCGCAACAGTGGCGAGGCGAGACAATCGGCGAGGCCGTGTATGGCAAGAAATTGTGAGATCAGTCATCCATGAAGAAGGCACGAGAGAGCATGCTAGGAACGGCAGCGAGTGAGCCGAGGAGAGAGAGAGAGAGAGAGAGAAGAAGAGAGAGAGAGAGAGAAGAGACAGAGAGAGAGAGAGAGAGAGAGCAAAGCCGAGACAATGGTGACAACCGAACAATGGTGAAGTGAGGCACCCGAACGTATGCATGGTAAGGACTGAAACAACGGCAAGACAGGAGGCTGATAGCGAAAAGAAGATAGTCTCCGCTATTTTTCTGCATGCTGGTCGCGAGTGATGTTCCGTTGTTTTTTGTACTGTGCGAGGAAGGAGGATCTGCCGCCATGCGTCGGCTGCTGGGGGAGTGGTGCATGCGTGCATATGACTTTTATGGATGAGTTGATGCAGGTGTGGTGTGGTGCTCGCTGCGCTGCTGCTGCTGCTAAGGTCGTGGTGGTGGTAGTGATGCTGCTGCTGGCTGGTCGGTGTGGTAAGTGATTGCTGCTGCCCTGCTGCTGCTGCTACAGTGGGGTGGTAGTGATTGCTGCCTGCTGCTGCTGCCTGCTGGTGGTGGTGGTGCTCGCTGCTGCTGCCGGTGGTGTGTAGTGATGCTGCTTGCTGGCTTAGTGGTGGTGGTGAGTGATGCTGGCTGCTTCTGCTGGCTGCTTGCTGCAGGTGGTTGGTGGTTGAGTAGCTGGCTGCTACTGCTGCTGCTGCTAACAGGTGCTGGGGTAGTGTATGCTGCTGCTCGCTGCTGCTGCTGTGGTTGGTGTAGTGATGCGCTGCTGCTGCTGCTACAGGTGGTGGTGTGGTAGTGCAATACTGCTGCTGCTGCTTAACGCTGCTGCTACAAGTGGTGGTGGTTTGTGGTGGCGGTGCTGCTGCTGTCTGCAGGTAGTGGTGGTGCCTGCTTGCTGCTGCAGGTAGTAGTAGTGCTACTGCTGCTGCAGGTAGGTCATTGTAGTGGTGGTACTGCTGCTGCTAGGTTCAGGTTGTTGCTACTACTGCTTGTCAGTGTATGTGTGTGTAGAAGCAACACATGTCGTTGTGGTGTGTATAGCACATATTATATGTGTGGCTATCGTGTTGTTGGGTACCATATACTGCTGTGGTACGTGATGTGCTGGTACAGCATATTACTGTGTGATCATGTGTGGTGGTAGCACATATACATTGTCGTAGCGTGTGTGTGGTACACATATTACGTGTGTGGTACGTGTGTGTGGTACACATATACATGTGTGGTACGTGTGTGTGGTACACATATACATGTGTGGTACGTGTGTGTGGTACACATATACATGTGTGGTAGAGAAGTGTGTGTACACTATTACAGTCGTGGGTACGTGTGTGCTGGTACACATGTACATCGTGTGGTAGCCGTGTGTGGAGCGTGTGTTTACACATGTATGTGACGTGTACGTGTGTGGTACACCATATACATGTGTGGTACACGTGTGTGGACACATAGTACATGTGTGGTAGCTGTGTTGTGGTACACATATACAGGTGTGGTCACGTGTGCGTGGGTACACATGTACATGTGTGTAGACGTGTGTGTACACATATAGCGCTGTGTGTACGTGTGTGTGGTACACATGTACATGTGTGGTAGTACGTGTGTGTCGGTAACACAGCAAGGCAATACATGTGTGGTTCGTGTTGTGATAGCACATAATACAGGTGTGGTACGTGTGGTGTGGTGACACATATACATGTTGTGGTACGTTGTGTTTAGCACATGTAAGAGCGGGTACGTGTGTGGACACATGTACATGTGTGGTGACATGTGTGTGATATCACGATACAGTGTGGTACGCTGTGTGTGGTAACACATAGTACATGTGTGGGTTACACATGATACATGTTGGTACGTGTGTGGTGCACATGTTTCATGTAACTTCAACATGGTATGAAGCACTATGGTTGGTTGTCGAGGAGGGCCTGTGCTATACGTCGTTGGAGCCAGCGCGCTAGAAATAGATCTGGCAATTGAAGCAAAGTGCGTGCATGTGTGTGTATATGCATGCGCGCGTGCGTTTGCGTTTGTGCGTGCACGCGTGTGTGTGTGCCTTTGTGCGTGTGCGTGCGTGATTAGAGACCAGCGATTCATGTACGCACGCGGCTCCCATCTGCTTTCAGACGCCGCATCCACCGACGACAATAATCTGACATCGCAGCTCGACACGATGTCAATCCGTGACGCGGTGGCGCCCCCTGTGATCGTCGAGCAGCCTCGCGACGAGACGGCTCCCGTCGGTGGCGCCACCACGTTCGTCTGCAGGGCGGCGGACGACGGCGTTGCCACGGCGACGGTCTACCAGTGGTACAAGCTGCGTGCGAGCAACTGCGTGGCGTTATACGCGGAGACGAAACCAACACTCAAGGTCTGTGTGTCTGTCGTCTGTGGTTACGCACACGTGCTGCCCCTGCACTTCAAATTTTCAATTATTATCATTATCATTTATCATTATCATTATCATTATCATTATCATTATCATTATCATTATCATTATCATTATCATTATCATTATCATTATCACTATCATTATCATTATCATTATCATTATCATTATCATTATCATTATCATTATCATTATCACTATCATTATCATTATCATTATCATTATCATTATCATTATCATTATCATTATCATTATCATTATCATTATCATTATCATTATCATTATCATTATCATTATCATTATATTATTTATTATTAACCTAAACTTTTAACCATAAGTTGTTCATAATATGAACTCCCTGGAATTTTTTTTAAATGCTTTAATTTAGGAAATAAGTTGAAAAGATGTACAAAAATTTGTAGTGAATTTCTAAACGCAACAATTTCGTAAACTAAGAGCCATCTCTTACATAAAATATAATATTTAAAAAAAATTCCAGGAACGCTTTTTTCCTTTGATATGTTAGCATTGAAACAAAAAATGTTGGAATCGGAGTTGCGAGTTTTGAGAAATAGCGCTTGAAAAATCACCTACTTTAGCATTTTTAACAACCGAGATATCAGCACTTTTCTAAATTTCCCATCATTGAATGCTTGTGTTAAGAATTGACTAATGCGGGGATTTGGAACTGTTTGGGAGGCTACATACATAATTTCTACGTGTACATAGCTGCCCATGGCTGCGATCTATCAAATAAAGCGGGTATTGAAATTTCGACGGAAATTCACCTCCCAAAAAAAACAACGGAACATCACTCGCGACGGATGAGACGAAATAGCGGAGGACTTCTTCTTTTCGCTATCGCTCCTGTCTTGCCGTTGTTTCGTCTTACCATGCATCGTCTTGCCTCACTTCACCATTGTCTTGTCTCACGATTGTCTCGCTTTGCTCTCTCTCTCTCTCTGTCTCTCTCTCTCTCTCTCTCGCTCTCTCTCTCACTCCTGCCTTCCCTAGCTGCTCTCTCGCTCATTCTTCATGATGACTGTCTCACAATTTTCTTGCCATACACGGTCTCGCCATTGTCTCGCCTCGTCTCACCTCACCTCGCCTCGCCACTGTTGCGGCTTGCCTTGCCTCAATGTCTCACCTCACCTCGCTGCCTCGCCATTGTCTCGCAACTGTCTCAACTCGCCTCACTGGCTAACCACTGCCTTACTTCGCCTCACCTCACCATTGTCTTGCCGCACCGTCTCACCATTGCCCCATAGTGTCTCATCTCACCATTGTCTCTCAACTGTCTCACCAGACCTCGCTGCCTCGCCTCACCTAACCATTGTCTCGCCAATGTCTCAACTCGCCTCACTGCCTTGCCATTGTCTCGCCTCGCGCTGCGGCGTCGCTGCGATGACGGATTAGTCGATCTTGACGGCTGCATAGATGCGTCGTATGAAGAAGTAGGCTGCGTAGAACCCCACGGTTCCCGTCAGCAAGAAGAACGAGAACACCATAAGGAACGTGTAGCCGAAGTAGAGCAGCGTCGGAACAAACTCGCTGATCTGCAGCTTGTTCGCGAAGTAGAACACCGAGTAGGCGAACACGTAGAGGGCGCTACCGCCGCTGACGACGAAGGAACGCCACCACCAGTGGTAGTCCTCCGCGCAAAGCTGGAAGTAGACCATGACGATGGAGATCTGAGAGCAGGAGACGACGAGGATGACGAAGACCAGGAAGAGGAATCCGAACAGGTAGTAGAACTGGTTCTCCCAGATGGCGCTGAACACGAAGAAAAGTTCGATGAACATCGCTCCGAACGGCAGAACCCCGGCCATGAGCGTGCTCAGAATGGGGTTCATGTACCACGGACCTTCCGGAACCTGCCGCGGGATCTGGTTCGTCCTCACGGGGTGTTCGTACGGGGTCTTCCGGAACCCGAAGAAGTATCCGACGAAGGTCAGCGGGAGACCGACGAACAACAGGAGGCAGACGAGCGCAATCATCGTTGTGAACGGCACCGCTCCGGACGACCGCTTCCCCCAGATGAAGAAATTCAAAAAGAATCCCGTCCCGAGGACGACGGCGGGATAGAGGAGCGCCGTCTGGAGAGCGGCGCGCTTCCACATTGTCCCCCGCAGCGTCTTGTAGAGCCGCGCGGAGAAGTATCCGGCGACGACGCCCATGAAGACGTAAAGGAAGATGGCGGCGGTCATCAACGCGCCGCGCGACGACGGCGACAGCGTACCCAGCATCGCGAACATGATCGTGATCAGCGACATCAGGAAGATCTGGATCCCGGATCCGACGAGGGCTGAGAACAGCTTCGGATGAGGAGGCGGACGGAAGACGTCGCCGTGGACGAGCTTCCATCCGGTCTCCTCGAGCGTGTCGTCAACGATGTCGTCGTCGCGGTTGTACTTGGCGATGTCGCGGCGCAGCGTGCGGACGATGATCATCGTCAGGATCCCCGAGAGGAAGAAGACGACGACGAGAGAGTTGACGATGCTGAACCAGTGGATCTGTACGTCTGACATTGCGAGGTAAGTGTCCCAACGCGACGCCCAGCGCAGCTGCGACGACGACCACTTCACGTCGTACGTGAACAGCACGTGCGTCTCCCCCGCCGCGTTCACCTCCTGCGGACGGTACTTCCGGTTGGCGGGGTCGAGCTGACACTGCGAGGTCGCGCGGTCGACCTTCAGCTCGCCGAAAGCGATGCTCTTCGGAATGACTTCAAATCCAACGACGCGATAGGTTGACTCGTCGTCCGTGTGGTACTTGAGTTGGAACGACAGGTGATTGTTCAGGTAGGCCTTGCCGTTCTCGAAGAATCCAAGGCGATAGCCGACCTGCAATAAAGCGATTGGGGAAAGTTAGCCGTGATGTCGGCTGCAGAGGGGAGTGAGAGAGAAGTGCGTTAGAAGGCGGCGGTGTTGGCGGATGCATTTTGCCGTGCCGCGGGCCAATTAGCGAATGCTTCATTGATTCGTCAGAATTAATGTAACGTGGACGACTTCAAGAACGGGGAACTAAAAGATTTTGTTCTTTCGAGGCGAAAATTGTCGGCAACATAAACAAACCCTAATTAATTTAATACCTCGTACTGCGTCTCTCCCGTGTCTCGCATCTCGAATCGCGTCGCGCACGGCAGGTTGTCTATGAGCAGCTGCACGACGTACTGCTCCTTGACGCGGCGCGCGACGAGCGCCGACTCCCGCTCCTGCATCACGACCGCGTCGCCGGGCGCGTTGCACAGCACGCGGCAGCCGGCGTCCGCATTCATGCGGATCTCGTACGGCGTGTTGACGATGCGGTCGCCGCGCAGCACCTCGCCGAGGTTCTCCGTCTTGTAGAGAACGTCGCCGCGCGGCCGGCAGAACGGCAGCGAGTAGTAGTCGTAGGGAAGCTGCGTGCGCGAGCTAGACATCTTCACGGCCTTGACCTCTATCGGGGCGTCGACCTTGAACTCGACGGGCGCGACCCCGGGGACGTAGAACGCCGTCGCCGGCGATGACACGCAGACGATGAGGAGGAGGGCTGCGGCGCGGGGAGACATGGCGCGGGGTTGCCGGGGACAACGACGACGGTGATTGTCGGTGAATCGAAAGAACGTCGGTGAGCGATAGAGTCGGGATGGAGACGGAGACGGGAGATGAGGTAACGTCGCTGCTATACGAAACAATCGGAACAATCGGCGTTCACGTCAAGGATTTGCGACGTAGCACGGACTCGCGTCGTGCAAATTTACTGCCGAATTTGTTGGGGTGAAAACTCAGCACTGACAGCGCAGACTCGCCTCTACGACTAACTACTCCCACGTCGTTGTCACTGTTCCTGGAAAATGGAAGGGTTAACGTTAAAACGTTTTTACCACTACATTTTGCTGTGAGTGAGAATGGAAACCCGGCCAGTACTATTATTTGAGTGAGTCAGCATTCGGCTACAGTATCTATCACGGCACGCAGGTATCGACATAAATAAAATTATAAATTAATTTATTAAACACACGCACTGACGCAGCGAGTTCACAGAAATTCAGAATCAATCGTCGTCAACATTGATATTCGTGACAGTGACAACTCTCGAGCAACTGCTCATCGTTTTGGCGACACGCGAATAGACGCATTAAAATCTCGCGTTGATACATTACCTTTTTTTGAAAAGTGACACTTATTACGCCATCAAATAAACATCTTTTTCACAAAAATAAACTTTACTTATTTGATTAAATAAGTGAACAGCTATGTCGTGGCACCTGTTAGATGTCGCTACCGCTCACATCTTTAAAATAGACTGGTGCGCTGACTCTCGGCCTGTCCTGGCCCGTGTAGAGACCACTAGAGACAGGGTGCCAGTCTTAACCTAGCAGACGAAGATTGTTTTTCACCCTAAACATTTAAAACATTAATTTTCCAGATATGTTCAGTAATAGTTTCTTTTCGCGATGCGTCTTGAAGTAGTTAGCGAACTGCCGGCTCTTGACACGAACTTGTTCGATCTTCAGTGTAAGCATGAACTGAGTCGAATCATTGACACGATCGAAGGTGGATGGAAAACGCTTCTGCTACACATGCCTGCGTCTGTTCGCGGCTACTATACGTAAGCGTCATTAATAACATTATTAGTATTACAAATTGCAATACAATATTCGAATATGAATTTCGTCGTTTCTAAGCAGCTGTACTGGGTTGTGTGTACGAATTTCTTATTTGACAGTGACTTATTTATTTGTTTATTATGTCAACAAACTTTACTCTCGCCCTTAACGCGGACAATACGCCCGGTCGCCGGTAACCCTTCTAAGTTCATGGACGTCATCTTTGGACTAAAGCCAGAGGTACCAAGTTGGGAAAATCCAAAGAAAAGGATCAACTTGTGATACATGTAAATAATGGTCCATTGCCGTTTTTTTCGCGGGTGCGACAAAAGGATAAAAAGGGAAAAATTGTGGCGGGCTGCCGACATGTGTTTGTCATTTGCAATTGGGCAGCCACTATTTTTTTAAGTAAAGTAACTATAGATGATAGCCATACATGTCAAATAAAATGGCCAAATTCAAAGAATGCAAAAAAAAAGAAGAGAATTCCAGGCATTTGTGGCCGATTATTATTGTTTGCTGGAGATCAGTCAAGTACATCAACGATCGAGGTGCTGCGAGTCGCGAGTGAGCAGGGCTCTTTCGGTCCGCTGGGGGATCACGGCAAAGTTTAGTAATTTACTGATGTAAATTTAAATATGGCTGAAGAAAAAGTGTTACGACCGGACTTTTGGATCAACGCGGGACCAAATGTGCACCGGGACAATAAATTGGTGATGTCTGCTATTAAGCATAGATTCTCTAAGATTATTGTTTGTAACGCACAACAGAAATACTAAGCTGGCCCGAGTGGTGATCTTCGTGAATCTATAGACGAATAGCCGTCTTGTCAATAGTTTTTATATGCAGTAAAGATTTAATAATATGATTAATGAATATAATTATTATTATATTATAAAATATAAATAATATTGATAAAACGTCACGCATGATTTCTGTAAATGAAATAGTAGTATGGCGATACTGTTCGCTGCGCGTGTTCAGGCGGCGGTTACGTGATCGTCTGACGTGGCCGACGCGCGCGCCGTCAGATGAGTGCGGCGGCCATCTTTCCTTGAGACCTCGGTAACGCAAGCATGTTCACCGTTAAGCGGACTGCTGATGGCCGGTCGACAGGCCTGAAAGCACGAGAGGGCGCTACTGCTGCTGCGGCCGACGGTGCGTCCACGGGACGGGCGATCCGAGTCAGCGCCCTGGTTTAGGGAGGGTCGAGAGATTTATAGCGATTAACTTTTGCGCTGAGGCGCGCGCATGCAAACGTCGTTGTTTTATCTCTCGATCATGGGAGGCGTGTGTTGTTTACTTGACTAGAATATTATCAAATGTTTTTCTTGCATTAGATCGTAAACATGATTTATGTCTGGCCTACTCTATTTATCTCCCTCTCTCTCGTCGTCTCTCTTCTCTTCTAAGCTGTCGTTCCTCTCTCTTACGGCTCTCTCCTCTCCCCTCTCTTAGCTCTCTGCTCTATCTCTCTCTTCTCTCTCTCTCTCCCCGGCCTCTCTTCTGATCTCCCCTTCTCTCCGTCTCTTTCTCCCGCCGCACTACTCAGTATCTCTCTCGTCCCCCACTCTCTATCTTTCTCTCCATCTCCATACTCCCGCCCTTCTCTCCCGTCTCTCTCTCTTCTTTCTCTTCCCTCCCGTCCGCCAATCGATCTCCGCTCTCCCCCTCTCTCTCCCCTCTCTCCACCGCCACCCCACTACCTCTATTCCCGCAGCTTTCTAATCTCTCTCTCTTTCTCTCTCCCTCTCCTCTCTTCTTCTCTCCCTCTCTCTTTCCCTTTCTCTTCTTCCTCTCCCGCCTCCTCTCTTTCTCCCCCTCTTCCTCTCTCTCCCCTCTCTTCTTTCTTCTTCTCCCCCTCTCTTTTCTTCTCCCTCCTCCCCTCTGCCCCCTCTCCCTCTTTGCTCTACCCCTCTTACCCCCACTCTCCAATCTTCTCTCCCTCTCCCTCTCCCCCTCTCTTCGTCTTCTCCTCTCACTCGTGCCCTTCTTTCTCCGCCTTCCTATCCCCACTCCTATCTCTCGCTCTCCCTGCTCTCTGCTTCGGCTCCAAGGCCGCGGCCCCGCCTCTCCCTGCTCCCTCTCCCTCCTCCCTCTGCCGCCTCTTCAACCCACCCACTCCCTTCCCGTCTTCTCCTCTCCCTCTCCCTTTCCCTCTCTCTTTCCCTCTCTCTCTCCCTCTCTCTTCTTCCTCTCCCCTTCTGTCTTTCTCTCCCCTCTTCCCCTCTCTCTTCCCTGTCTCTCCCTCTCTCTCTCCAACTCTCTATCTCTCTCTCTCTCTCTACAGAGTCTGTACGCATCACACAGCAGCCAGCCGCGTGGATCAACGTGAACGCCGGCGACGTGTTCCAGCTGCAGTGTCAGGCTGCGGGGTTCCCCTACCCCTGCTATCGCTGGTTCCAGCTCGAGGAAGGAGGTTCCTACGCTGAGATCCAGGGGTGTAGAGACAGTCTCCTGTCTCTACGAGCGCCCGCTGACTATAAGTATGTGGACAGGCAAGATAGGGCAACGGTTATAGCATGGTTATTTTCAGGCCAGTATGTCGGTGAACATCGTGTAAACTTCATCTTGTTGATCGTGTAGTTATATGTATGTGTATGATTATGTGGATGGATGACAGGCAGTGGTTATACAGCATGGTCAGTATGCACCACCTGGCAGCTACCCATAATAGAATGATAACTTGCCAGTTGGGCCCATCGCGATTACTTTAACACGGGCGTGCGAGGCACATTTCCATGTTGTGTTCCATGTTCATTTCCAGTTCCATGTTGTTCACACTCACGTGAGAGAGTTCTGTTTCTCTACTTAGACAAACGTTCTGTTTCTCGCTTGAGAAAGTTCCGTTGCTCACGGGGAAAGTTCGCCACACGTTTCAGATGCTCGAATGGTGGTCGGATGTACGTAACATGTCGGGTTCACAACGCAGCGAGCGACTGCGTCTATAGCAATTGGTGTCGCGTAGACGTGCTGCAGCCGATAACGAAGACCGCGAGCGACCGGGGGAGCGACTATGACGGAGGCTGTTATTCCGGTAGGTCCGATGCCGCGGTGACGTCAGTGTCCCCTCTCCCCTGTCACATAGTAGTCAGTGGTGGACTGTTGCGCGTCCGATGCCGCGGTGACGTCAGTGTCCCCTCTCCTCTGTCACATAGTAGTCAGTGGTGGACTGTTGCGCGTCCGATGCCGCGGTGACGTCCCCCTTGTCCCGC